TGCCATGTGTTGTTTTATAAGGAATATGTTTTGTGATTATGTTATTAATTGTGTCATAAAAAATATTACAAGCATCTTCAACTCCGCACGAGCCCAACAAAGATAGCCAATCGATGTTATCAAGCGCTTGATTTATTTTATCATAATTGCCTCTATGGAAGTTATGCTTTGGGAGTGATGCTTCAACTAGAGGAGTTAATGTGATATCTAAGACCTCTATTACAAGAGGTGGGTGGGCCCGGTCAATGTTAACTAGGGGTGAAGTGCAGTTAGTGATTTCCAATGGAAGATCGGAAAATGCTAGGTCTAATGTATTGCCAGCGTGGTTTATTATGGTGTTATATTGTTTTAACCCTAGAAAACTCAATTCTTCTGTCAGTCTGATTCCAGCATCCCGCACGTCCACGTTACAACCACTTGTATGCACAGGGCCATCCCTGTGCCACGATATACATGGCAAATTGAAGTCGCCCATCACTAAAAAATGTCCCTGTGTACCATTTGTGCCCATTATACTTGTAAGAGTTTGCAGTAGGCATTCTATATCACCCGGAATACGCTCCGAGTCAGGTGGAATATAAATCACGCTAATACATAGGTCAGCAGCGGCCGCAAGCGCACGCGCCGGCACCGACACCGTCACAATCTCCGTGCGTGGCTCGAAGCCCGCAACGACCGCATCGGCGGTTACGCAACGCGTCGCGCCCAGTCCGCAGCGTATCAGTATCATAACACCTCCTCCAATTTTTTTACAACTTAAGTCAGGATCACGGTCATGGCGAAACACGTCATATCTGTTATCGCAAAATTCCCTATCGAAAATCCCATCATGCAACCAGGTTTCTGTTATTACAATAATGTCATACTCATTGCACAAAATTTGATGCCGCAGTTGTAAACATTTGGTTCTCAGTCCGCGGGCATTTTGATAGTAAATAGATAAATCTTTCCCTGATTTGTTATATAGGACCGCCATTTTAAACATATATTAATTTAATAAATTGTAACTGTCTTATAAGTATACCGGAAACAAATATGAAAATTAATAACAACCACGGATATGTATTGGTAATATTATGTTTACGAGTGTTAAGTATGTTTCTATTACCTGTTGCATAATGAGATTTACGTTCGCACACGCTAAACATACCATTTCTGCAGAATAACAGTAACGAATAAAGATTGTCTTTTATATTATAAGACTTTACGTGTGCTTGTGATAGAATATTGAAGTGTTTACTTACTGAGCGTAATGTACTACTAATATGCGGTAAGCGCACCATTTCGCGAGCAAGTTGGCGGTATTGTAAAATAAAAATGTTACTGGTGCAGAACGCCGAGCACTCAATGCCAATACTTGTAATTAGTTGTGATTGCGTAGTACTTTGCTCATTAGAAACAATGATGAGAGACGTTATTTGATATGCCATTATGTGCTCATAGATATTACAGGTCCTCATAAGTTCAAAAAAGACATGTGCATAAAAAAAACTAGTCTTAGACTTTACTAGTTTGTTACAGTGAGCCAAAAAGTTCATACTTTGTGTGTTACGGTACCTGCCATTTAATCGACAAATCACTATAAAGTTGCAGTGCACTATGCGAAAGGGAGAAGGCACAAATGCAAAAGTACAATATATAACAGTAATTAGTTCGATCACAGAGTAGACTATCTTCAGAGAAAATATGGACAAAAACGTTTCTTCAATTAACACAGTATTTTGGAAAGCAATTAAATTATATATTCTTATATTATTACGGTTAAGATAAAGATTAGTAATCATTAACAAACCATAGACACCAAAACCAATAAGGAAAAATAGTAACATTATAAAAACGTCATCAGCTATTGTTTGGTGATAATTTTCTTGAGATCCTCCTCGTCGAAAATTTGCAGGCCAGGAGATGTATCGTTTCTTCGTACGAAAATTCTTCCGTTTTTTGTCCAGACGAACTGGTACTGATTCAATTTAGCTAAATCTTTGCACTTTTTTAGGAGCTGGTTATTGTGAGAGGTTAAGTGCTCGTTAATAAAAATTGGTCTGCTTTCACCTGCTAGCCCAATGTCCTCAGTGCTTAGACGATTTTTACGCGATAGAGATATTAGGTTATCTTTCAGGAGTCTTGATTTCATTTTGGCAATAATCACCCTCGATCGACCTGGCAATTTTACTTTTGGAGATACTCTGTTAACCTGCAGAATGTCATTTATATTGATTGCAACTCCGATGTGTTTACATATTTTGAAGATGGTATCATTTAGGTCCTCGTTGATTGATTCTGGTATGCCGACAAATTCCACATTTAGCAGTCGGTCACGTTGTTCATTAATGTTCATTTGTCGATTTACCTGTTGATTTTGTAGTTTGAGATTATTAATTTCCGATTTGAGGTTGTCGGTTTTCTTTGTGTGCTCAGATAGGACTTCAATTTTTTGGTGGTTTCATCATGCCAGTCAGAGTTAAACTGCACTGATTTTTGAAGTGTGATTATATCTTTTTGCATTTCGGATTGTTGTGCACTGAGTACTGCGACACATGCTTTTACTTCTGTATATTCCTTCCGAGCATTTTTTATCTCTGTCTTCAATTCCATAGAATCTTCTTTTAATTTTGTTAGATCTTTTTTAATTATATCATTTAATGTGTGGTTTATTTGTGAAAGATTTTTATCAAACTCTGTTTTCCAGCTATCCATTTTTTTTAATATAGTATCCGTAAATGTTTGGAACGATTCTGTGATATCATGATCGTTCTTTCGCTTTCTTATGCTTATATTCGATAAATCTGGATCAGAATCGTGACGTTTATTAGGAGGTGAGCGTTGCATATTGCGGAAGGATTTCTCTGAACTCCAGCTACTCTGTGTTTTGCGAGTGAGATGCAATAATAACCGGAGGGCAACTTCACTGCGAAGGACACACAACACGGCACGTAACCACTGACACTAGCAATGATAAATAAACTCTATTGTAATTGCAATAATTATGATTTTAGAATGAAACTACTTATTTAAAATGATTTAATTTTAACTAAACGGTACGACACGTCCGTATGCGCCGCGACTCGAAACGCGAATTCAATCCATAATAATATAATTAATTCTTCGCCAGCTAATGTCTGGAAGTTTCTCAGGTCAATTGGCGTGGGTGAGATGGAGCCTACTCTGGAGTGCGCCTCTTCTCTGTCTTGTGATGACATTAATCTCCATTTTGCTTCTGCTCCTGTTATGGACACTACTGTATAATCTCAAACAATAGCTTATTTAGCTTCTATCCAATCTCCTCAAATTCCTTCTTTTCAATTTCACCAGTTCATCAGGATGACCTTAAAAAATTGTTCTAGCAATTAAATCCAAGGCTGTGTGTTGTGATGAAATTAGCAGAACTATGATAATCAATATACTGGAGTATGTACTACCTGCACTTACTCTCATTATTAACTTTTCGCTGGACTCAGGTCAGTACCTAAATCTCTGGAAAAAGGTTTTCATACGCACTATTCCCAAAATATCGAATGCCACATTACCTAATCACCTTCATCCGATATCTATTTTACCCTTTCTGTCCAAAGTTCTGGAAGGCTGCGTACATAAGCAAGTCTCCAATTTTGTACTTAAACATAATCTACTCAGCGATTATCAGTCTGGGTTTAATCTCGGTCACATCACCACTACAGCATTACTCAAAGTTACAGAAGACATCAGACAAGGTATGGAAAAAAAGGAAGTGACTGTAATGGTGCTTGTTGACTTTTCTAATGCTTTTAACGCAATGGACCATGATTTTCTTTTATCTATTCTGTCCTATTTAAGATTTGCACCCTCAGTCTTGGATTGGTTCTCTTCATATCTTCGCGGGAGTCAGCAGCTGCATGACGCTATTAGAATGTTAAATCTTAACTTGGAAGCTATTAAAGAACGCATGTCATCGAAATTAGCCGCAAAGTCTTTGCCACCTTACGATCCCGCTATCGTTTGAAGAACTTTCTTCCAATCAAGGCTAAGCTAACACTTTCGCAAACACTTATAATACTCATTATTGATTATGCAGATGTGTGCTACCCAGATGTGAACCAAAATCTTCTTAATAAGCTAGAGCGTCTTCTCAATAGCTGTATTAGATATATGTTTAGTCTTCGAAAATATGATCATATCTCTCATTATCGTGAACGCCTGAAATTGCTCACTATCCAACAAAGACGAAACTCAAGAATTTTGTTTGTTCTTTTCTCAATTTTGAATAATCCAACTTCTCCAACATATCTGAAGGACAAATTCCAATATCTCTTTTCAACTCATGATAAGGTTCTTCGCTCCTCATTTAATCAAAAGTTCAGTATTCCGTCTCATTTAACTGGATTCACCAACAATTCCTTTACTATTCAGGCAACACTGCTCTGGAACTCCTTGCCTGAAAACATAAGAAGAGCGCCAAGTAAGGATTGTTTTAAAAAGTTGGTACACGACTTTTTTTTTGAATCGAAGTGATGTTGGATGTTAAGAATGGTGATGATAATTTTGACACATTTAGATGTTTTATTATTTGTAATTTCAATATATGTATTTTAATATCATATGTAACGTATATATTATATCTATGTATGATTATATATATATATGTGTGTGTGTATTTGCACCTGCGGTCCACCACTGTGCGATTTAGAAGATTGTGGAATAGTTTACCACTAGCGATTTTTCCGGACCGATACGACTTAGGGACCTTCAAGAAAAGAGCCTACTCCTTTTTAAAAGGCCGGCAACGCATCTGCAATTCCCCTGGTGTTGCGGTTGTTCATGGGCGGCGGTAGTCACTTACCATCAGGTGAGCCGCATGCTCGTTTGCCCCCTCTCCTATAAACAAGAAAAAAACCACCACCTTAGCCAAATGTTGTTCGAAGAATATTTACCGAATACGAAAGCTATGATGATTTAGATTCTGTGATGATAATTACGTCACAAAATTAAGGCATCCACTTAAGGAAGATTATGATACTTTGGAGATGCAGCAACCAAAAGCAGGTAAGTTTTAAGCTGTGTATCGTTTTTAGGGTTTTGAAGTCAAACAAGGAACCCTTATGGTTTCCTCATGTCCGTCCGTCCGTCTGTCCGTCCAACTGTTCGTTACAGTCATTTTACTTGCTGACTGTTATAGCTATGGAGTTGAAATTCAGCACGATTCTGTATTCTTATGACGCTTAAAGTTCTGTAAAAAAATCTGTAAAAACGGTTTTTAGAGTACCTCCCCTACATGTAAAGTGGGTGAGTTTTTTAAATTTGCGTACCCCATTTTGTAGGGTGTCGATCAATAGGTGTTTAATAATAGTAGGGATTTTCCTTCAACGTTTTTTGACACAGGCTTTCATTTACGAAATATTAAAAATTCAAAATGGTCATTTTTGTCAGAGTTGTGTGTCTTTCACCGGTATGCGGTGGATACAGGACAAACTGCTATTCTTGAACACTTAAAAACTCTCCAAGATATTAGCAAATATAACGAGTTTACAAGGAAAATTGTTACTGGTGTGATAGCTTTTCTAGTTTATTAGTAACATTCTTTTAACTTAACTATGCAGTTGAGTCTGTAAAGTTTATCGAAATTCAGTATAAAATGACATAAATGAACTGCAAAATCAACTTTGTACTTTTTAAATACATCGAATTTGGCAAGGCTCATACTAACTTCGGGACTCTATCCTGTGCGGACACGCACTTAGCCGGTTTTTTTTAATACATAATCAAATTAACTCATTACCTAATCCTTAGCTGTGGAGGTAGGTAACAATAATTATTATTACTAGCTGTGCCTGTGACTTCGCCTGCGTGGTATTTTGATTACTAGGTATTTCATTATTTGATATTATCACTATCTAGGGGATTATTTCATGACCATCGGAATAACAACAACCTCTACGTTCTACGCAACTTCGTACAATAGAGGATTTAAGCAGTACCTTATGATTTGCTTGACTGATTCTGATGAAATATCACCATCATTTTTAAGTTGGACTAATATGCACTTGATTGTAAAATTTCACTTTAAATTAGTAAAATGTTCAATCCGTATAACCATTGTCTCGTGATGAGGTAACAAACGGACAGACTGGTATCAATTTATGAAGTAATAATATTATTATAATACTAAAATAAGTAAAAAGTTACCGTGATATGTACAAATTATTAAAATAACTATTTGTCATTATAACAGTTATGGTTGAAGAACTTGGTAAATCTCATGATCCAGACATACACTTACCACCAGTCTCTCATGCTGCAGATCAAATTCAAGAAGGGACAAATCACGTTCAAGAAGGGACATCTTACAGTCTACATACCCATCACAGGTATCAGTCTCAAAGATGAGCGAATATATACATGGAGGGACATCTTTACACCAAGTTATACATGAATCGCAAACAGGAGACCACGATCAGGTAGAGACATTCATTGGCCACGACATCCATCCCACACAGGCATCAATCTCACAGGCAGGTGATTGTATTCAGGCAGAAACGTTCATATACCAAGTCTTAAATCAATCACAAACAGAAGTCAATGCTCATGATGGGACTTCCTTCGTTCATGACATCCATCCCACACAGGCATCAATTTTATTGGCAGGCGATTTTGTTTAGTCAGAAACGTTCATATAACAAGTCTTAAATCAATCACAAACAGAAGTCAACGCTTATGGTGGCCCTTCCGTCTTCCAAGAAATCCATCCTACACAGGTATTAATCTCACAAACGGGCGATTGCATTCAGGTAGAAACTTTCGTAGGCCAAGACATACATCAATCGCAAAAATCAGTTTCGCAAATGGAAGATTATGCCCAAGAAGAAAAATCTGTTGATCAAGATGCATCTAGACCTTCCCTACAAGATGATCTTCAAGCATGCACATCTTTTCAATGTAAATCTTCTGACCTATCTTTGAAGCAACCTTGTAAAAAAGGAAATTGTATGAGCGGCTTAAGGAGATGGAAGTCTGCCTAAAGGAAATAAGGGATGAAGGCGCTTTGACAAATAACTTAATCAAGACAACTGTCGATATTGACATAGAACCCGAAGAAAATACAGATCAATCCGAGGAGGTTGAAAATGTTCCAAAAAAATCGAGACAATAGGAAAAGGAAGAGAATTTATAATCATATTGACTTTTTATCGGACAGCGAAGAATTTATTTATAGTTCAAGTTCTTGGCAGGATTTTACAGAATCAATTGAAATGGATAGCATTTTGCACTCAAATGAAAATAATGTCAAAAAAACAAAAAAAAAGATATCAAACAGGAAAAAGAAATCACTTAAAGATAATAATTTTGATGATACGAAGGAAAATTCCAAGCCGAAAATGAAAGAGCGACAAATTAACAAGAATAAATTACGAACCCATCTTAAAAACAGTGGAAAACAATATACTTCTATATTGGGAAAAGACATAGCAGAGAAAAAAATGAAGAGCAACACATGTGCACTTGAAAATTGCCATAATGAGTGCTATAATATAAGTTCAGATAAGAGAAAAGCTATATTTAAACACTATTGGAGTCTCAATAATAAGTGACGAAACGATTGGTTAGTGAGCAATTCTAAAAAGAATGCAATTAGATGACCAAAGTCGTAGGCAATGCACTTTTGATTAATTAATTAACGAAGGCGAGGGAAAGAGAAAGGTTTGTCTGAAGTTTTTATTAAACACACTAGATATTAAGCAAAAATATGTATATAATATTATTACATAAGCCACTCACGGCTCATCTAAAGAAGATTCACGAAGGAAGCTTATTCCATCAAACAAAACGTCAGAGAAAAACTTAGAGGAAACAAGAAATTACCTTATTTACCGTCGCAATACTGTCGCAAAAATTCAAAAAGATTTTATCTCCTTCAGGAATTTCGAATTTTGGCTAATTTGTATAAAATTTACAAGGAAACAATGATACGTGAATATAAACAGATAGTGGGAGAAAGAGTTTTTCTGAATATTTTTCGAGAATTCAATATAGGATTTCATATTCTACGTAAGGATAAATGTGCTAAGTGTGTGCGTTTCAAAAAAGAAAACATAGAAAGAGAAGAAGAAAGAAGAGTGTTGCATATTATAAAATGTGGTGGGTAGTTTTAGCCGGTAAGCGCACATTGTATTTCCGTCGCCAGTTCAAATAAATGCCTGTACTCGACGCACGCCTTTTATTTATCAGTGGCGACGAGGATAAAACTTGGTTCGGTGTGAAATAATTTTGTTTGATCGTGTCGTAGACAATAGTCGCAACAATGTCTATAGGCAAAATCAAGAACTTTGATGTGAAAACCGGCAACTGGTCAGCATATGTGGATCGGTTAGATATGTATTTTGTGGTTAACAAAATAACTGACGATTTAAAGTTACCAACTTTAATCGCGCTCATCGGTGAAGAAACATACGATTTGTTGTCTACGTTGGCGAGTCCTAAGAAGCCGTCAAGTCTATCGTATGCGGTTGATCTACTGCGTGCATACCTGCAACCGACACCATCAATCCTGGTAGAACGGTACAGATTTCGTCAAACACGGCAAGTAGCAGGCGAATCGATAGCGAACTACGTGGCGGACTTGAAAAAGATGGCTAGATATTGCGAGTTTAAAACTAACTTAGAGGAAAACCTACGAGATCAGTTTGTGTGCGGTCTGCGGAGTGATTTTATTCGACAGATGTTATTTGCAGAAAATGATCTTGATTATAAAAAAGCGCTACAGTTATCTAATACCCTAGAGGCAGCCGAGCGGGATGCGGGAGCTGTGGAGGGCTCGCGGGAACAAGATCCAGACCGGAAACTTAGCGAGAAGATACATAAGTTAGGAAACAGAAATTGTTCAGCGTGCGGTGGCGACGAACATAGCTCACAAAACTGCAGGTATAAAAATTTTTAATGCAGTTACTGTGGAAAAAAGGCCATTTGCGAAGAGTATGCATGAAGAAGGAATTCGATCGTCGTATGACATCGGATAATTCAAATTCAAACGGTGCGCGAGGAAGGTCACGCAGAGGTCGCGCGCTCGGCCACAGCGCGGACGGCGGGAAGCAGCGCCGAGGGCCGGGCCCGGCGGCGGCACGCGGTATACGGATGCCTGCTCGAGCGAGCGCTAGCGCGGGCACCCACGCTGCGGCCGGTGCGGCGCACTGGTTGAGCGGGCCGGCGACGGGTGACGTCTCTGAGGATGATCAGAATGCGTCTGATGATGGCGAGGAACCGATGTATCAGATGTCTTTAGCGAAGTATAGACCAGTGTGTATGAACATAATTATAAATAATAAACCCTTAAAAATGGAAGTCGATACAGGGTCGGCATTATCTTAAGTTATTCAACATACATTAAATAAATTGGAAAGTGTGAGAGTGATATCGAAAGAAGAGTGAATGCAGGAAACATGGTGAATGGAGCTTTGCACTCCTTTATGAGCAGTCGGAAGGTGTCTAACAAGGCTCGTTTGGCTGTGCATGAGGGGGTGTTAGTTCCGACACTCATGTACGGAAGTGAAACTTGGGTATGGCAGAAGAAACATGAAAGCAGAATAAATGCAGTTGAGATGAGAGCATTAAGAAGTATGATAGGAGTTAAACTGAGTAACAGGATAAGAAATAGTGAGATAAGGAAACGTTGTGGTCTGAAAGAAGATGTAGTTACAAAAATTGAGAAAGGTATGCTGAGATGGTTTGGCCATGTCGAGAGAATGAATGAAGAACGATTGACGAAAAAAGTGTATAAGACGAGTGTGAATGAAAGTTTTGGAAGAGGTAGACCTAGGCGGACATTTCTAGACCAAATCAGGGACGTCTTGAAAAAAGGCCAGGTCAAGAGTACCCTAAACCGTAGAGCATGTATGAAGGGAATAATGAAAGTGGACGAAGCAAAACAAGTATGTAAGGATCGTAGCAAGTGGAAAGAACTGGTCTCTGCTTACCCCTACGGGAAAGAGGCGTGATTATATGTATGTATGTGTATGTATTAAATTATTTAAGGAGTTAACTTTAAAAACGTGTAAATTAAAATTAAAATTTTACGATGGTTCAGCTATTTATCCGATAGGGTACTTGGAGACAAATGTTGAGTATAATAATAATGTAAAACAGTTAGATTTATATGTAATAAATAAGGGTAGCACTAGTTTATTAGGGAGACAGTGGCTGTCTGAATTTTGTATAGAAATACCTAAGCTAAGTAAGTGTACAAAATACATAATATGGTACCATGTAAAAATAACTCGCTTAATGATATTATCTCCTGGCATGAGAATCTATTTAACGGCACATTGGGCAAGTATACTGGTGAAGAGGTCAAGCTGTCGATTTATTGCCGCGCGCGACCCGTGCCGTACGCGCTACTCCCGCGGTTGGATGCAGAGTTGGACGCGATGCTGCGCGCAGGCGTCATCGAGCCGGTGGACCGCTCGGACTGGGCCACGCCGTTGTTTATAGCGAGGAAGACGGACGGCGGAATACGGCTGTGCGTGGATTATAAGGTGACACTGAACAAAGCTTTGTTGGTCGATATGTACCCGGTTCCAAAGGTAGAAGATTTATTTAGTGGTTTGAGTGGTAATCGTTACTTCATCATGCTAGATCTTTCACAAGCATATACTCAGTTACTTTTAAATGAAACGTCTAGAAACTACACTGTTATTAATACGCATAGAGGACTGTTTAAATACAACCGCCTAGTGTATGGTCTCGCTTCTAGTCCCGGAATTTTTCAAAAGATAAATATATAAATCTCTTTAAAAATGTGCCGGACGTAGTTGTGTTTTACGACGACATACTAATAAAAAGTAAATCGTGGGATTCGCACTTAAAAAGTATAGAACAAGTATTTAGTATCTTGGAAACTAACGGATTAAAAATAAAAAAATAAAAATGTGAGTTTATGGCTCCCCAAGTAAAATAATTAGGATTCATAATAGATAATAAGGGTGTTCGAGTCAACCCGGAAAAGTTAAAGCCTATTTTAGGTATGCCTCATCCAACTAATATATCGAAATTAAAATCGTTTTTAGGCATGGTTAATTTCTATGTGAAATTTATAAAAAATTTAAGTACTCATATTACCCTTATTAAAAACTTATTACATAGACTTATTAAAAAAGAGTAAACATTGGAGATGGACAATGTCACATACAAAGTGTTTTAATAAAATTAATAAGCTTTGTGTAGTGCGGAAGTGTTGACACATTTTGATATGTCGTTGGAGAGCATAGTAACATGCGATGCCAGCTCACGTGGGCTCGGCGCGGTGCTAGCGCAGCGCGCGCCCGCCGGCGGTGGCGAGCGGGTGGTGCCGTATGCATCGCGCGCGCTCAACTCCGCTGAACAACACTATAGTTAGATTCATAAATAAGCCCTCGCGATAGTATTTGCAATGGACAAATTCCATCAATATTTATTTGGTAGAAAGTTCACTTTACGTACGGATCATAAACCGTTAGTCACAATCTTTGGACCGTAGGCGGGTATTCCCAACACGGCGGCTAGTCGACTACAACGCTGGGCTATTAAGTTATCCGCTTATGATTTTAATATAGAATACATTCACACGGATAAAAATACAGCAGATGTTTTGTCTAGGTTGATTAGTGAGCATAAGGAAGGGGTAGAAGCCCCAGAACAAACATATTTACATTTTGCTTCAGAAGCGTTATTATTGGAATCACATAAATTAAAAAAGAAACGGCGTCGGATATTACATTAAGCAGAGTAGTCAGATATACGAGTATTAATGACGGTTGGCCGAACGACGTCAAAATGAGAGAATTAAAACCATATATTAACAGAAATAATGAGTTGTACATGGTTGTGTAATGTGGGGACATAGGGTCGTTATTCCAGACTCTTGCAGGGATAAAGTTATTAAGGAACTTCATGAGGGCATATGGGGGTAGTAAAAACTAAGGCGCTGGCTCGGAGCTATGTGTGGTGGCCGGGCATAGACGAGGCTGTAGAAGCAGCGTGCCGTGTCTGCACCGTGTGCGTAGCGGTAGCTGACGCCCCTCCGGCACATGCACCGCGCTCATGGCCATGGCCAGACCGCCCATGGACCAGGATACATATAGATTTTTTGGGGCCGATAGCGGGACAAACTTTCCTTATTGTAGTTGATGCTCAGTCAAAGTGGATAGAGGCAATTAAAATTAATAGCAGCGAAAGCTGTTATAAAGGAGTTGCGAGAAATGTGGCCGAGATTCGGTTTACCGAAACAAGTGGTTAGTGATAACGGTCCTCCATTTTTCAGTAACGAGGTCAAACAATTTTTAAGTTCCAATGGAATTGAACAAATTTTTTCAGCCCCATATCACCCGGCTTCGAATGGGGCGGCGGAAAATGCCGTTAAATGGTGTAAACGTAATATTAAAAAAGCAATTAAGTGTAGAACAGACATACACACGTCTTTATGTAGATTCCTATTAGCTTATAGAAATAATCCACACTACACAACCGGTGAAAGTCCGAAAGAAGCAAAAATGTGCATAGGGCATAATTTACGCATGCGTTTAGATTGTTTGAAACCTGATCAGAAAGAATTAGTAAAAGCTCAGCAGAAACATCTGCTGAGGGAGCGATTAGACAATTTGCGGCAGGTGAGGTCTGGTTCTCTGGTCTGGTCTTTTATTTATCAAATAGAAGAAAAACTAGCTCATCTGAAAGACAAAGAAGAAACTTATGAAAGATTTCAAGCAGATCAGAAAATTCAAGATGAAAACATACTTTGCGTGTCCTTTGATTTACAAAAAGTTTTAAATACACCATATAGCCAAAGTATGTTATTATACTACTCGCAAACTAGCTGTATATAAACTTTACTATACTTTTTATGAGTCCAGAACTAGAAAAGGCTACTGTTTCTTGGACTGAGACAGAAGGCAAACGTGGAGCAAACGAAGTGAGCACCATCTTAGAAAATTATATCAAGATGGTAGACGATTGTAGGTCAGTTAGACATCTTTTGTTTTATAGCGATGCGTGTCCCGGATAAATAAAAACAGAATTGTTTTTGCATGCATTCATACTTGTCTGCAAAATTGCAAGAACATTGCCAGCATTCAAATGAATTATCTCTTGCCTGGTCATAATTACATGTAAGTGGATTCGATGCATTCTGTAATAGATAAAAGCGTAACAAACGCAATTATTTGGGCACCGTCACAATGGGCAACTATTTTTACGCTAGCCCGAAAGAATCCTAAGCCTTACCATGTGGAAATATTAACACATAACGTTTTTTATGGTTGTCAGAGATAAATATTTTAAAGGTAATCTGACGGGGAAAATATCGAAGGTAATTGTAATGTTGACTTTTCTCAATGATAAAGTAATAGCCATCAGACTATGTATTGTAACCTATTTACATTTTATTTTATTTGCAGGTACGTACAGCAACATTTAAGAAACCCGAGCCACAGAAAATTATAGTCAAATATACAATGGCGACTGATAATCCAGTAGAAGAAATAGAAATAACAAACAAAAACAAAAATCTACAGCTTAAAAAAATCTACAAAACTCGATTGCCTATATCAAAGAAGAAATACCAAGATTTGTGGAAACTTTGTACATCAATGATAATTCCTGAAATGTATCACTATGAATATGAAAATTTTCCTTGTGCCGCTAATGTTCAGGATACCCTTCAAGATACGGATGTCGAAGACATTTTCTAATTATAAAGTTTAAAAATTATTAAAAAGTATTATAAATTTAAAATTTATTTACACAGTAATTATAAACAGGTTTAGTAGATTTTTAATACGATTTAAGTATTATTTTCCAAACCGCATGATTAGATGATTTTTTGATTACAAGGTATTCAAAATCTATTAAGTATATCAATATGATCTCTTCGAAAATTGTGCCAAATAATAAGTTACTTAATACATAATTATTATTGTATATTAATAATAAAATTGTGTTGCGTGACTTTTGCCACATGTTTGCTACAAGTAACCAAGTTTTATAAAACTGTCAAAAAAACTACAAGCTGTATTTATTTTGTTTTTCTCTTCATCAACCAATACAGTAAAAAGATTCAATCTAACTCGAAATAGGAATTATAGTATTCTTATTTATTTTGTTTGCTGCTAGTACAATTATTGTTAGCAAAAGTACTGTCTACGTCCGTTAAGAAAAAAATATTTAAATTTAAAGCATATGTCTTTTACATAAGTCTTTTTGGCATAACAATGGTACCAACTTTTAATACTATACGTCGCTTTTCCGTACGGTCTTGTTACATGTTTAAATGTTTAACTACTAATATCCTGAGACCGTTATCAACCCGTAATGCGTGTTAATACTTTTTCCTTTCATAAGAGATAAGTAGTTTCTCTTTACGAAGTGTACAGAGCAAATATACTAAAGTGACAGCTATCTTCTGAATTACAAGAAAGATGCAGAATATCTCGACTCCAGTACGTAGATAATAGTCACGATTTTTTTTGCTTTTATAGTATTTCGATTTCTTAATTAGAAAAAAGTTAAGCCCGGTTTTGTAAAAAAAAAACTTAAAATGGCTCTACTGTAAAATGCCCTTTTGGCGTTTTAGTAGTATTGGCTTTCCAGTGACGATATATGGATTAATTAGTAATTTAAATTTTCAAATACCATTTAAGCCAAAAAAATATGTCCATTTATGATATTATTAGAAATCAAAACATTTTCAATTAAAAGTGATAAAACCGCTGTCTTTGATGTTCATAAATCGTGTTTCCATATTTCTTTTATCATTTCGTTATATCTTCCAGTGTGTTCAATAAAATATACGCCATAGAGAAGTAGTTATTATGGTTTTGAAAACAACACCATTTAACTAAGTAAATGTTAACTGACTTTTTATTTTTACTGGTTTCATTTAGGATAAAAATATTTTAGTATCTCTTAGTAACAAAATAATATCCGTTTCTGCAGAGATAACGTCAAAGATTGTTTGATGTGCATTTAATATTGAAAAAAAAACACATAGAATGCAAATATTCCTGTACCCATATACTTTTATGTAAGGAGTAGTCTAAGAAAGCACTTTCTAGCGATATTATTATGCAGTTTTTACGACTGGAGTTACTGAAACTGGATTTATCTGAAAAAAAAAACTATAGATAGAGTATAATCCGAAAGCAAAAAGATATGAAATTCTTGGCATTTCTTAACGTATTATAAAATAGATTGAAAGTATTTACCTCTCGAGAAATCTACATACAAGTTGGTGCATGGCACACGTAAAGCGCACATTGCGTTTTAATAATACACATTTGACTATTTGGAGTGCATGCTATCGTACATAATTACTTTAATATTTGGAGTGAGCTGTTTGAGTGTGCATTACATAAAATCACAAATTAATGGAAAAAACATCGTTACATTGTTAAAAAACCACAGAAAGAATAATAAATAATAGTGTTGTTCTACGAGAATAAATGAGTAGGGACTAGGGACACGATAAAATAATCGCTTTCTAATTGGTATCGATGATACTTTTGCTTCAATGCGGAGTATTTTGTAAAAGATTTGTTATGTAACTATATTATTTTAGGATTCAACAATTTCCTTTATTTTCCATACTTTTCATTGGATTATAAATATATATTATCATACCGCGAGGTAGCAGCGAATATTCGATTTATAATATAATTTTTGTATAAATACTCCAGTTAAATAACTTATTTAAAGTTATTTAAGTCATAAATATATTATCTAATAAGAGAATCTATCTCATTATTTTGTACCGTGGGTGTCTTAAGAGTTGACTATACGTAATTACATAAAAATCTTATAGATATTTCTGGCATTTCCCTTAAACGCCTATTAAAATAGATGGTAGTTTAACCACCTCCTTTACATCACACATAAAATTCCCCGATCGACGACGGTGTGAGACTTATTATCTTCTTGATAATAGTCAACCCGAAAGCCAAGCGTGACGATTAAGGCAAATTCTTCCTACAACGGAAGAGCCCCATGACTTACGGGTGTGATGGTGGAGTGGTTGATGACAAAGAATAATATCATGAGCTTGGATTCCATGCCCACCTTTGGGAGCAAAATAACAAATAAATAAAGTGCACGCTAACTGATTTCTAGTTAACTAAATTGTTGTTCAAAACATGTTTTGAAGAAAATTATTGGAGTTATAAATAATTTCATAACAGCTATTTAATTTAAAATAATACATTTTAAGTTGCCATATTTTTTTTATAGTAATGAAAGCTAATTATTTACCGCTCACCAGATGTCGCTAGTTGGGACTAAAGTGAAGTTATATGTCACACAGCGTCATCATAAGTGAAAAGTTGTGATTTAAATAAAATATTTTCGGTTTCTGGTGTATGCACTTAAATACACAAAACAACGCCTCAGTCAAAGAAAATATACACTACGCGAAAAGAAACTACACCTAAGCATGTGAGCACGTAAAATCGCTTGCACTTATGTGTGGATATCAGGATGTGTGCCTGATACCTGGGGCCTTGAGAGGAGCGCGGGGTGTGGAATGGGCCGTCGCCGACTGCCTTGACCGAGGGCTAGTACGTAGTAGAAGTTCGCGTCTCGTCTCTCTAATCTCACGCACCGCACGCAAGCACAGACTGACTGCGCTCTATACAAAAATAATGCCTATGCTTCCCTATGGATTTTCTAAAACAAATATACATACGGCTACAAATTTTGGCAATTGTAAGAAATAATAATAAAAATTATAAAACTCATCGAAAAAGCCAAAAATATATACCTAATAGTAAGTAATTTTTAAAGGGTAGTAGGTAATGCTGACTATGGTGTACTGAAATACAAAGTGTTGGTTAATCATTTAAGATTACCATTAACTGCCGTGCATATTTTGTTTTGTCGGAAATTTTAAAATTCCTCATCTGTAAAGATATTTAATAAAAATTGATTTAAAATTGATCGTATCTTTTACTACATAAATAAATAAGTTTACATTATATAACATATACCTACTATGTATCTTCTTTGGCACAAGTCTATAATATTCCATTTCGGTTCGGTATTATCCCTAGCGTTACACGCTCCGGCTCAATGTCACTAGTGCTTAAACTCTCACATACAGAGAGTGTCACCGCTGTGCCTCAGTGGTTGCTCTTTAATTTTTTCGAACTTTTTTAGCTCTTTTTTGAAACAGAAACACACAACTCATTGTGAGTCACTCTTTTGTTTAATTACCAGAGGTTCGAAAAAAACCGCCTCTATTTAATTCATTTACTTTTAGGAATATCCGCAGTTTGGTTTATCAATTTTAATAAATTTAAAAAAAAATGTCTACCCTTATCTAAGAAATTAACTTAAATTAATATCATAATAGGTCGAGAAAAAAGTTCCTTCTCAATTTTTTTCAGTTGTTTTTCTTTCCGCCAGAACGAGTGAATCTAACGAAGAATTCGATACGTTCTGAAGTTTTATTATAAAAGGGGCAAAAATGCTACTTAAGCAATTTTGACGTTTATGGATCTAATGCAGTATCAGTAAAGGTACAATTTCGTAGCCGACTGCAGGCAGCAGCAGCAGGCGACGTGTCGTCGCGACCTGTCGCTGCGACATGTCGTGGCGTCATATCGCTGCAGTTATGTTTGTAAACCTGACTGGAGGCAGCAGCGGCCCGTGTTCCAGTCTGTTCCGAATGTTCAGTGGGTTCTCTATTTATGTAAACAAAATAGGTACTTACCGTTTTTATTTTACTCCTTTCCTATATTTTTTCAAATATTATCTTCTATGACACTGTTTAAATAATTATTGTGAGATGCATCGTACAGTGCGGGATATTGGGCCACCTAGTTTATCAGTTTCTCTTCCTCGGAATCGGTGAAACTCATTCTTTGAGAAAAATTTAACGTGACGCTCAGGCGTTGGCAGCACTACTGATCTGCGGTCGGGCTACAGTGTCGTCTGCCGCTCAGTCAATAGCGGCAAACGACGTATCGCTACGACACGTCGCCTGCTGCTGCTGCCTGCAATCTGCTACAGAATTGTACATTTAAAGTAGTACAAAGTTGGTTCAAGTCAGGGAATTCTGATGCCAAAGATGTAGCTCGCTCTGGTCACCCTCATATGGATAATATTTGATGCCATTTTTGAAAAAGTGGAGCAAGATCGGCATATTAGTAGTTACGATATAGCCGAAGAATTGATGATTTACCTCAAAACAGTTTTGATCCGTTTAAAAATGTCTGACTGTACAAAAAAGTTCGATATTTGTGTACCACACGAGCTCTCCGAAAGAAACCCAATGAATCGTGTAGGTACTAATTTGCGATTATCTATTGAAACCTAATAAAACCGAACTATTTTCGAAAAGATTGATCACTGGAGATGTAAAATGGATCACATACGACAAGAACGTGCGAATAAATTCATGCTCAAAGGGTAGTCAAGCTAGACAGACTGTAGCGAATCCCGGATTAATACGAAATAGAGTGATGCTGTGTGTATGATATGATTGGAATTGGAATTGGAATTGGATCTCTATTCATAGCAACTAATGAGTCTCAAGCAATTCTTTGCTTTCAGATCTTTATTGCCAACAACTAATGAAACTCAAGCAAGAAATCGAGAAAAAATGACTGGAATTGATCAACAGAAAAGGAGTGGTCTTTCGTCATGATAACGCCAGACCACACATATTTTTAGCCACTCAGTAAAAATTGAGAGAGCTTGG